TCACGCATTAGGACTCATGATCTTTTGAATGAAAATATAGATTATGAACTTTAAACATACAGCTGTGTTTGATGACTTTGGAGTAATTAGCCAAATGTCTTCATCAAAACTTTAGATAAAGGGGTAAGAGGGACTCAAGACAACGAGTAAATACACATACGCTCAACAGACAATAGAAATAATCTGATGAATTTAATAACAGTATTTGAAAACAGTTGTATTGATGGAGTATAAAACTGCAATAAATTTATTGAATTAAAAAATGTCATCACTGCAAAAATATATGAACGATAGCAACAAATAAAGTTTTTTATGTACACTGATTTGATAGTGTGTGCTGAATAAATTTATTTGCATTTTTTTATTTATTAGTAAGTGCGTAAAGTCTTATGAAATTGCTTCGCGTTCTTACCAAAATGGTGCAAGGATGAATTTGTCAGTGGAGGTGGTATTACGGTCTTCATCCTGTAACATGACTCATGCAGCAAATGTATTGTTTCAGGAACAAAATGTGTGATGAATTGCCATGTAAAGATTGAATAAGTACTCTCGCGTATTCTACTATGTGTTTTGAACGAAACAAGTTTATTAAAATGATGAGAATATCACTTAGAGCTTTTCTACAAGCTACATATATACCAAAATCACTAACGAATATCAAATCTATCATGTTATCTAGACGCGTTATAAAGAGAAAATTTAGTTAATAAATAATAAATAAAGTTAGTTAAGACATGAAATTATGAAAAAGTGATATGGGTAACCCCGTCCATTGGTCTAATATGTTTTCACAACGAACCACCATGACTTATACACGAAAGAAAACAGATAGTTTGTAAGAAAAGAAGAAAAATAAAATTTTGAATGATGAAAGTTTGCAAACGGAATATTTCTCTTAAGTCATTTAACCTAAGTAAATTGAAATATCACAGCAACGTACAACCACTGCAATAAAAAGAAAGCTTGTTAATACTAACTTCTTGATAATTTTTATCCTTTTGGTTGTCTATCTTTATCAAGCAACGAATTAAAATGCCAGAACCTTTGAACACTTGAAACATTGCTGTAATATTCTTAAATAATTGCTTAAGGAAGAGAATTTGTAATACGAGGGAAACGTTAGTCGGTAAGTGGATTTTAATCGCTTGTTTTAAGAACAAACTGGTCATGAAATCTAATTTATTTTACTTTACGTGATATTTTATTTTCATCTAATCAAAGAAGATCAAAGAAATTACACATTCCATCTAATCAGGAATCTGCATATAAAACCTTTTGATATCACCGTATTTAACATGTTAAATACTGACGTTTACTAATTTGTAAATTAATTCAGTCGATAAGTCCATGTAAAATGAATGACATGCCTTTGTTTAATATGATGAATGTCAGCCTTGAGTTAATTTTTAATACTATGCAGCCCTGCTCATCCAGCCTATTAGTTCTAAATTTAAAGTATGCACATATATAACTATGTGATTAAGAAGCATAATTTTAACCATGGAATTTGAGATTCAATTAGTGGAGATGTGAATTTATCATGCCTGTCTCTTCCATCATTTGTACATCACAAGTTTACACATTGAATATATACCTTAATATTCAAAATATTTGATTTACATTCAGACTTGTATCAAGTGCTTGTTTAATTACTAACTGCTAGAAATATGAATATAATTGCTATCTATCTATCCAATAACACTTAAAAATCCGGACGAAATTATGTAGTATATGGATTAAAAAACAGTACGAAAGGAATTAAGGGACATATCATGAGAAATTAAAAGTATCAGACCTTTACTTTACAAGGGAGTATGTCTGTAAAACCTTTCCAGGGAAAATATTCCAGGATAATTTTGTATGTTATCTACCTGATATCAGTAGTCATCAGGATCCAGTGTGTTTTTTTACAATTCTGAATTTATCAGCGTCTACTACTCCACTATTTTGCAGCATCCTTTGTTAATCACGTAACATAAATTAATAATCTGCTATGATGCATTTATGTGTATGATTCCTAAGTAAATAATGCCTCCAAACTATGTAACCATATATTAAAAATCTCACCACTTATGTTGTTTGCTTTAATTCTAATTAGTTTACGCCGTAACTTTATATTTTGCCTTAAAGTTTGATGTCATTTCTGCATAACATTTTCCCATCTTAACACCCCAAAAGTTATATCTTCCCAAGACTTCGTCTAATTTTCTTTTCTACAACTAACAAACGAAAATGTTCAGGAGTCCCGCAGAGTGGTAATATGACGCTCGACATCTAGTCAATCAACCGATTCTAAAGTTTTCAAATAACGCCTACAACTTTGGTTATTGCTATTACTATGTACCAACCGATATAATTGTGTTGATATATATTTATATATTTCTGTCTCTGTTATGCAAACATAACATTTCCTACCATATTGGTGTGGGTTCTCAGTTAAATAGAAGCAGGAGAGTCATCTTATGGTTAAATAACAGCTGTAGACAGAACGATATCGAAAACTACCAGTCATACAAGTCCGTGTGTTCTTATATCAGGTAATAATTTAAGGAATTTTAAAGGTGGTAGCATAACGTTCACTTTTTTAATTTACGCTAACGTTACAACATGTGCCATGTTTCTATTGTAAGCCGATTGTTGATATTAAAAAAAACATTGGAACTTCAGGTGATGAATCAAACAAATTCAAAGTGGCTCTTAACAGAAAACTATGAAAGCCCCAGTGACAGTAAACCTTGTTTACTATTTTCACTTATTACAATAACTACAGTGAGTTAATTCAAGTTAGCAAATTCAGAAAAGTATGCTGCTAACTTTAAACTGTGGAATTATTGTTGTGTTAAATTTAAAAGAATCATGTTAATACTTTACTGAATTATAAATAAACATAGGAAAAGCAGTATGTTGTATAAATTTTGATCCTACATCACACATGAAATATTTACATCTCAAGTGAGGAATAAATGACGGTTTATAGTAGCGTTATTAGTATGATGAAAAAGTCTTGAATATTTAACAGTGAGATGGTTAGACAAGTGAGCTAAACACATAATGCATAAAAAGCTACTAAATCCGAGAAGCTTACAAACCAAGATTGGGATGGAAGGTTTTATTCATTAAAATACTTTCATTCCCAGAGTTTAGAAATGTACTTGAGATTCCAACTGTTGGGAGATATAGGCAAAAACGTCTGACTCAGAAGGTTCCAACGTGAACATCATTTCCAATAAACTTTTTGCATCGAAACATTCTTTTGTACATAAAATACAAGTTGGTCTAATATGAAGATTTTGCTAATAAATGTTTGTGGGTACATGTTGACTCCACTTTGTTTGTGCTTATCTGCAAAAGCAGTAAACAATGTGGTACATAAAATTTATTTCATTAATCAAATAAACTCGTTCTCGAGATTTTGAGTGATCAGAATTAGTACTGTAGATGTCTAGAATAACAATGAAAGCCTTGCAATTAAACTGCTCATTTGTGGAAACACAACACCCTATTCTAACTAAAGCGACAAGACATACTTTCTACATTTAGTGTTGAAACAAATTCCAAGACACCATTTTTTGTGGCCTGGGAGATATCAGTTTATTATTTATGCGATTTTCCGCCACATTCAAAGCTACATTTTCTTCACGTATCGATATTTTGTAGCAGTTCAAAGTAAGCCTTATATAATTGTGCTTCTTTATTGGATGGCCACAAATTTTAACCTGTCTCCTAAGAAAAAAGTATTTTTCTCCCTGTTATCATTACTCGAAATTATCATCACTAACTGCATTGACAATATATAAATATATATATATAAAATCCATTCCAGATGTTCGAAATGCCGTCATTTCGTTTAATCATTCAAAATTGTTTTCTAAAAGAGTTCATAGAAGTTAATTTTCATTTCAGATCCCATTCGTGTCAAATCATTTTTGCACTTTTGCACTGTTTTGAAGGAATTGGTAGTTCCATTAAGTATGCAGAAGGATATGCGGAAATTCTCTACATTCATTCAAAGTAATCTTTCATCCATGGGTATAACTTTGATGAGCATTTTAACATACATAGAAGCAAAATCTTTGTATTCGTCTTTTAACCTTGTACATCAAGACTCTAAATTGTAAATGTGACAGCTGTCTGATGTAATAAAACATCCCCTTATTGTCTAGTGTTTACTAGGCTGTCACGTGATTTTGAGGCCAATTCTATTGGGCGTATACTTCTAGGGTTTTCCATGACATTCGATTTTATTCCGCTTAAGGCTGTTCATTGCATTTTGAAGCTCAAAGGAAATTTTTCAGATTTCATATCTAAATTAGGAGACTGTTACTGTTAGATCTCTATAATTTTGTATGGCTATTTAATCAGTCTTATTCAAGTGACACTATGATACATGATTGTACTACCACAGAAGACTAGAATTTTTGTGTATGCGCAATAAAAAGTTGTGAATTACGGAATAAAATATGTAATGGATTAGGAGAAATAAGGCATGGAATTTTTTAATGCAGGCAGCAGCGGAAAGACCTCAATACTCAATTAAGAGCTGATTTATTTACCTGAGGCAAGTTAGTTGTGAATTTTCAACTGTTTTCCGCATCAACCAGTAAAAATGAAGTTATCCTATCGAAGTTTAATTAGTTTTATTTTGATAGTCCTTGCGAAAATAATCAGCGAAAACACAAAAGCAAAAGAGAAATGAATGTACAAAACAATATTTACACTAGATTTATTGTGAAATGAGTCATTCGCTTACTGGCATATGTATATATATATATACATCCAAGAAAATTACTTTCAGAATAAACTTTAATGTCCTTAACTGACCTTCTCAAATGTATATGTATCAAAGTGATGGCAACCACCAATTCAACGAAATTTACTCATTTCATGTTTCTCAGTTGTATGTCTTTGAGCCCGCATTTGTTTTCCAGAGTGATGAAAACTGAAATATATTGATTCAGCTGACTTTATAATAGGTGATGTAGATTGTCTTAGTTGTAAAAATGTCTGGAAGACGAACACAGTCAGAATCACGCATAACCACTGACAAAAGTGTTACAGATTCATGGGCAGACAGTTTAGACAGAGACATTTCCTTTGAAAGCCGCCATCCACCAGAAAGAGATTTCGGTAATCATGTTTATCATGAGTGCGATATTTATCTCCTTAAGCAAATTGATTTGGCTAAAGACGAACCGTTTTCAAGAGAAAGGATTCAATCCCTTTTGGAAAAATATTACAATTCGAAGCAAACTCATTGTAGGCTATATATGTTTGATGATTCAATGAGGTTTGAAAGAATTAAAACAATGGGCCGTAGAGTAGTGCAATCAGACTTACGCTATGAAGATATTAAACGCTGTTCAACGTTCCGTTCTAAACCAAACGCATTAGTTTTGTGCACGTCGAACCAGTTTGGGGATAAACGTGCTTGTGAATTATTTCGCTGTAAATCACTAGTTGATCTGAACAAAATCTGCGATTTAATCGACAAAGCTACACAATCAAAAACATTCCGATTATCACAACGGCCAATAGTCTACAATGACAATCTGAAATTGACAAATTACACAAATAATAAAAGCAGAACTATGTCAGCTGATTCAGTTCAAAATTTATCACAGAAGCCAAAATCGCTTATAGGCGACTACAGTGAATATTCCAAAAAAACATGTGACGAAGCTGTTGGATCGTGGAGAATTTCTAAACGGGATTATTATAGACGCAATTCCCTGAAAGAAATCAAACCGTGTGAAGTGGAAAATAGACAATTATACAAGTCAGATACACATGATTTGAACTCATTATCATATCAAGTAGTCGCATCTCACTCTTCCACTAAGCAGACAGTTTATGAACCTAAACTTAGCTTATATAACCAAGAGTTTCCCAACGAAAGTAAGCAGCAAAAATCTAGTAAATTGCCAAGAATAAAAATTGATAGGGATTTTACATCACCATTTCAAAACTGGGACGATGCTGTGACCTACTTACAAATTCATCCAATTTATGGACCACAAATCAATGGGCGTGGACCAATTTACATGTATGCATTACAACTATGAACTGCTTTTTATACCTAAGGGAAAAACTTGGTCAACATTGAGGACGCTGTTTTAATGTCTGATAGATTTTACCAGTTGAATCTGTTTGTTCCATTTCCAGGTGAATAACTTGTTGATTTGTTTTAGAATTTATCTTTTATTGTTTTTAATGACATATGTTTTGTGTAGTAAAATCTGTTACCAGTGTTTCTGTCGTATAATAAAACGGAACTTAGTAAAACTAGTAAAGAAATGTAAATGTATCTGACATGAAGAAGTGTGGGAAAGATAGGAAGAATATGATAGATGGCTTAAAGGTTAATTTTTACATCACTAAACATATCCAGACAAATTACACTATGTATTCATTACTTAAAAATGTCATTATGTAGTACCTTTTAGGACTTAGTATTCATTGAACTCAATCAGTGTTTCTTAATACATCAGTACAATAAACCTTTTCATTCCCATATCAGTTGTCTTATCCACTTCCGATTTGTGAGATATTCTTCATGAACCTACAGGTGGTAAATTCATCCTTGAACCACAAAACAGACGACACGTTCCTACAACATTAACAGAGAATAGTCTTAATCCCATTTGTAGTTTAAAGTTTTCAGGCAATCAGTCGTCACTGTGTGCATCGTGTCATCAAAATATAGGAAGATAAACGTTCGGACTTAGTTAGTACACTTCATAAATGTACATACATAAGATGGTCCTTAAGAGATTTCAATGCTGTGTTAATTTCTTCTCCATCTACTAATACACTACTAATTTTTGAAGTCAACAGGTTGAGAAAGATTGCACTATCTTTTGAAAAATATTCATGGCACTGTAATATGTAAGCGATTCTCAAAAATCCTCATATACTTTCAAAAGGTGACGTTTTACCTTAAGTTAAAAAAACAGCTTGAACAGTTTAAATATTCACTCAATTTTACTGTTTGTTGCAGCACGAACTCCAAGAAATCTATATTAAAGTGACTTAGGCAAAAATTTGTTTATATCATCGAATGACTATGAGAGTTCAGTAGCTCCTGTAATTCAAGTGCTAAAAAATTCTCAAATGTTAACACCACAGAAAAGTTATGAAATTAGCGGAATTAAAGCATGTTGTACTGAATGGTGAGCAAAACGTTTATCTTACAATGACTTCCGCATTTCTGTAATCACCGTCCGACACCATAGGGAAAAAAGGTGTTCTTACATACAGTACAGGATAGAAAGTAGTTTAAATGCACAGTGGTGCACAAAACTCCATTTAGTTACCAATAATATATCAAATAAAACTATCTAATTTAGAGTTATAATCTACCAGTGATAAAGTTCTCTTTTGACAGGAACACAGTGCGATGTTCATATTGTCAGTGATGAAATAATTATTATTAAAAGCCTTTGAAACAGTAAAGATAAATAAAAAGTAGTAATACAGTTATTTTCGTGAAAATTAGTCCATATACTACTGATAAAACTGATAAATTAAATACTGATAATAGCTTTATGCTAAATAATATTTTTAATGCAGAATGGAATTACCAAGATATAGAACGCCATTGTATTTAACGTTCCCATCAAATTTCGTACTTGTATGAATTTAAAGTCCTTGTGAATCCCAAAAAATCCATTGGTCGTGACGGAAAAGTAATCAAGGATAGCCATCATCAATCATGGCTGGCTTCAATATTCTCATCTAAGTCAACGATAGCTGAAACTATGCTGACCGCATAGGTAAGCAGAAGAAATGACTACTATCAGATGGTGATTAGTGTCAGTTCTTCGCAGTCGGGAATCTTAATTGCCTCTCCCTTGCCTTCCCCAACCTATCTGCCTACTTATAGTCTTCCACCTTCAAAACTTCAAGTTTTGCGAAATGATAAATATTTCACCTGCTAAATCAAAATTGTTTTGTCGGTCGAGCGTATGCCACCAAGCTGCTTTCGGAGACATGCTGCGTCACCAGCGCCAAATCATTACGGAGAAACATTATTAATGGAAGTCAGTTTTTTTAGTTTTCTCCAGAAAAACTCCTCCGTGTGCATTAAACACAGAATCTCATTAAGTACGGCTTCGTCAAGCAGCTAATGGATAAAGTCCATGAAATTTTCTGACCTGGAATAGATATTGTAGAGCAGTTAACTGAATACTTTTGCCACCAGTGTCGTGGATGAAACTTAGAAAAATCACTCAAATAGTGGCAGAGAGTGGACTGCTATTCTACTCCCTATTCGATGACGATAGATAGTGTCACAAATCGTGAACTACATGTTTCTCGTGAGATCAAACTGTTCCAAGAGATTTCTTACGTTCAGGACATTTTAATCATTGCACAATAATGAGGCTTAGTATTTTGATTTGAGAGAAAGGAGTGTGATTCAACCCTGTTTCTTGCACAGGCTTCAGTCATGCTTCTTAGACACTTTGAAAACCTAAATTTGCTACTAATTGATAGTACCACTCCTTCTTCCCAAATCTTTTGCAGTAGGGATATGAGAAACTGTCCCGAGCTGTCTCAGTTCTTCAAGTAGTTAGGAAGTCAATGTGGTTCTGCTGCTCGTCCTCTCTTTAGTAATTTTATTATCTTAAAAGCACCTACTTTTATTGAATGCTTCGTGTACACTGGTGGTTCTGTGTCAGCTATCAGCATTTCTAGACGTATTGTAGGTAGTTGTCGGCTCAGGTGTCTCTCGAAGTGGGCATCTACAACGCCTCCTCTCTTCCACCTCTTTGTTCATTGTCCTTCGTTCAGTTACTTTGATAGACTCTATCTCCGAGTCCTGACCTGAATGTTTGATATAGCGTTTTGTGGTCTTTTTTTACTTAAGCACTGTCCCACCTCAGCTGCCAGTGCGTCATAACAGAGTGGTTTTTACTTCCGAATTAGCCTACAGAAAGTATTACCTCTCATCATTAGTGAGATTTTCAACGTTTTGCTTAAAACTGATCGTTTTGTTTTAGTGCTCATATATGTGTCGATGTCCTTTATCTACCCTTTTAATAACCGGTAAGCATTTTGTGGTAGATAAGGTGTAGACACATTCACCCTCACTTAATTTCACTCATTCATTTCCTCCCTTCTTCTATTTTTTACCTTGAAGACGTTTCCCTGACTAAAACTTTTGTCGCTATATGTAATACTTACATCAACATAGGGACTCCTCTACTTGATAAATAAATAAAACAACCACATTGACTTCTTAACTACTTGAAGAACTGAGACAGCTCGGGACAGTTTCTCATATCCCTACTGCAAAAGATTTGGGAAGAAGGAGTGGTACTATCAATTAGTAGCAAATTTAGGTTTTCAGAGTGTCTAAGAAGCATGACTGAAGCCTGTGCAAGAAACAGGGTTGAATCACACTCCTTTCTCTCAAATCAAAATACTAAGCCTCATTATTGTGCAATGATTAAAATGTCCTGAACGTAAGAAATCTCTTGGAACAGTTTGATCTCACGAGAAACATGTAGTTTACGATTTGTGACACTATCTATCGTCATCGAATAAGAAGTAGAATGACTGTAAACTATCCACCTTAACTTAATTGTGTCTGAGTTTACGTGGTTTGGCCTGTGGTTATGGACTATGGAGTCCGATATGTGAAATTACTGTTTGCCTTCATATGTTTCTGAAATGTAATAGTTGAAATAAATTCAAGCACTGGTCCTATAACTGGGATTTTTATAATTAGAATTTTGTTTATCCTATTAGGTGAAAATCAAAACGAGTTTGGTCAGTAACTCCATTATGGGTAAGATTTTATTTTGATAAATCACGCAGTGTTGTTCAGTAATATTAACTGATGGCGTTTCGAGCACAAACTATTGAGTTCGGTCAGTGATATTTCGATATCTTATTATATAATCTTTAGTAAAGTATTATTAAACCTCAAATTACGAAATCTTTGCAAAAGTTAATTTCTACGTCGTCAAGTATAAAAACTGGTACAGATGAAGCATGTACAAAAGTTTGGATTTAGTAAAAACATGTCGTAAAACAAGCTTATGCTTATGTAATGAAGATGCCAATTACTTTTTATGTTAGATTTCTTGCTTGGTGGGTGGAACCAGATCAAATTCTGTTTTTTTCTGTTCTTCTTATTCATACGATTTGGGTTGTATTAAACGTGAAATGTTTGGTTTATGAAACGCTCTTTGAGATTGTGGAAATTTTTCTCTAATGACTGCAATATTATCAGGATCAATTTTGTGGCATCATCCAGTTTATTGTAGGCATGTGATCGACGACGTTTTAAGCTTTGCCAGTGCTTGGGGATTTATAGGTGATAAAACAGAGGCTTAGTACTGTTCATTTCTTCTGACTTTGATTTATCACTATTTATCTAGCTTACGCTACATTTCATTCTAAGCACTTTATTTTACAAACACAGTTCGACTGCAAATCCATCGGAGTTCAATCTTTCACATAGACAAGACTGCTTTTTGGTATCTGATATTTTGAAGCAAATACATGAACAGCATCCTTTGTTCATATAAGAGACTCGATTCTCGTGGATTTATAATGTGCGACTATAAAGCACAATGCTGAAATATGAGTTAGTTAGTGTATGTAAGCTGTGTGATTTTATGAATTATGGCTTGATAATAAATACCCTGTTAAATAAAGAAACCTCAGGGAAAATATTAATTTGAGTTTCACTCACTGGGACAAATAATCTTTTATTGCTTATTCATTCATCTCATTCAGTAACTATACGATGATGTCTCATGTTTGCTAATTCACAACGGAATTATCAATGGAGAGTTTGCAGTCAAAGTAGGACTAGGACAAGGCTGTTTACTATCATAATGTCATCTTCCTGCTTCTGACTGACAGGATCATGCAGCAGACCTTGCTTGAGGTGTAACAAATCAGGTTCACCAACGAATTTATTATCAAGCTGTACAATCGGATATATATATATATATATATATATATATATATATATATATAAATGGTTTTTAAGAAAGTATATCCAGTGAGGGAATTAGATCAGAGGTGTGAATGCATGAAATAATAATAGTATGAAATGCAATTAAAACATTTGTGATTATAATCATAGTTAAATGTCAGATAGCGAAACAAATAATGTCATATATAGAATAATACACAAGGTGTATAGATGTTGGAAAGGGATGTATAATCATAGGATTAGTAAGCGGATATAAAATGCTACATAATATGGGGTGAAATTTTACAAGATAGAATTCATTATTGTAAAATATATAATTTTGGATTTAGAATGACAAGTGGGACAAGCGGAAACAATTCGTAGTGAGAATAGTAATAATTATAATATTAATCGCAGCAAAAAGGGAGAGATAAATAGAATAACTAAATAAACAAAACAAATAATAAATGTTTGTCCCTCCATGTCCAGGTCAGAAGTAAGGGTTGTACATACTTCTTTTGCACACAAAGTTCTGGCTTAAAGCCATGAACTGCCAAGGAATCCTCTGTCTTTAGAAGTCTGTAACGAAGAAAGCGCGGCAAGTTAGCATGGATTCAGCAAACGATCTTAAAATCATGGTCAGGGTTGGTGAGTAGCAGGAGTCGATCAGGTGGTCTAGAATGAAGCTTCGCACACATTTCCTGTTTCCCTTGTAAAGCTATGCTGGAATATGCTCTCGTATCTCTCTTCGCTGAATATCGCGTTCTTAATTCTGCAATGAGAATTATTAAATTAAATCAGGCTTATGGCTAATGGACAAAATGTCCTAGAAGGTCAGGTCATACAACAGGTCATGAGAAACTAGAAGAAGTGAACATATTAGACAGAAAAAATGCACCAAGAATCTCAATTTCGTAGATGATTTGTATGTCGTCTCTCACAAACAAACATTTACAAGCAAAAGACAACATTTTGGGAGAAGATGTAACGTAGAATGGACCTAAGGTGAACATGGAGAAGACAGTGGTGATGAAGACACTCTATAAGCAATGACAGATGCCAATAACCATCAGTGGGAGAAATCTGAAGAAAATTGTTTCTTTCATCTACCTTGGTAGCACAATTTCAAATACAATGGGCGCAGATGAGGATGTGGAAACCAGTCAGGAAAAAATAGGGAAATCACTGCGAACCCTCTTTACTCCACAGTAGTAAGTATAAGTAGTGAGATTCGAATTTTTAACACAAATATCAAGTTAGTGCTTGTATGTACTACAGAGTCTTGAAATGAATATCTCCAGGACTATGTTCGACAGGCTGGACAGGCTTTCGTAACAATCTGCCCTCTTCTCCAGATACTGAAAATCAGATGAACCGCTGGAAGCAATAACAAAGAAGCGAATCCGGTAGACACCCAGCTAGCAGGAAAGAATCAATTTATCTTACAAATATGCAAAGGAAAATGGAGGTTGACTAGACATTCGTCAAGAAGACGAAGGGTGACGTCACGCGCTAGACTATCTAGCGGAACCTGAGTGGAAGGTGACAGGTCAAGTGTCTCTTGAAGACGTTGCGATGATCATGTGAAGAGAAGGTGAAAGGTTTTGAGTAGTTGTGAGGCAGGCTGAAGGGAATGGGGTAGAATCGGGTGCAATTGTGATATTCTGCTGAAGCCCTATGTTTTGTTTCTTTTTTCATTCATTTACGTTCAGAGTGGAACATAGGGATTCAAGCTACAAGCCTGAAGTTTTGGCAGCAGTGGTGTTTATTTGTATGGGATGAGGTTGCTAGCTTCATGCCCAACCTTCTGTCTTTACAAGTCTTATTAATAGGTTAGTAAGGTAGGCGAGTGCGTTGGTCGAGGAGCGAACCCGGACGATATGCGTGGTTGGCGAGCATTGTACCGCTGTGCCACCGACGCAAGTTTTTTTTCTGAAGGAAGGAATGGATAATTACTCAATAATTAGTATAATCTACCCCATACAAATGACCTCAAAACGTAATGACTTTATATGTTGCTTATTGGTAATTTATTATTTGGTGAAAGATGATTCAGGAGCTAACAATAAATTAAAAATTTAATTTATGTTTGTGTCGTTACGCTGTCCTGTATTGAGACGTCTATTATATGTCTCAGTCTTCTCTGTAATTTTCGGGACTTACTTGAAAATTACTAAATTAAGATTTGAAAAGTGTGGTTATTGAATATTTAACATTCGCAGTTAAATTATTGTTCGTCTCATAAAAAAATGTATCAAATTTCATCAAACTATAATCTTGTAAATTGGAATTTATAATTTAATTTAAAATAGAAAATTCTAGTTGTTTCATCTTTCGTTTTGAACGATTTTGTTCAGTCTTGAAAACAACAAACAATAAAGGGAACGAAAAGAAATTTTAGTATTTCATGTACATTCAAACAATTTAAATGTGTGCACACTTTCATTGTATCGAATTTAATGAAACTCCAATCAGGTATTTTAAAAGGAAGGAGCTGTGTTGGACATTAATTAACAATTTAGTCTAATTCTTCTAATCACATAGAGATAAATACACATACATATGCACATACTTGAAGCTAGACCACTGCAGTGCATAAAAAAGCGTTGCTTAGATTTTCTTGATTAGTTTAGGAGTTAGACTCAGGCAGCCGGTTAATCCCTTCATTTGTTTCAAAATTATAAACAACTTTAAGTTTAATTCAATTGAAACTGAACAAACAATGCCACAGGGTCGAAGTAAAAGTTTAAGTTTTAGTCAAGTAAATGAACAAAGTGGATTAAGTACTCTTTCTTTGAATCAAATGAAAATTGACAAGAAAACAAAACAATCTGTTTATTATATTTGTCATGTTTGTATACTTAATCGTAAAGAAGTCAGTCTAAACGATGAAATGAATCAACAAAAAGCGGAAGACTTAATACAAAAACATATAAAGAAACGTGTAGCTCATTGTAACCTATTTTGTCTACAAGATCAAATTCGGCTGGAGAAATCAAAACAGTGCGGATCTAATCCACCAAGAAAATTTATATTATACAAACATATCAAATTTATGCATTTATCTGAACATATACCATACACGTTTGTTTTGTGTACAGAATTTGAAAAAGCTAAGTGTAAATTTTATGAGGTTTATAAATGCAAACTATCACAAGATGCTAAAATGCTATTTGTACTTATACAGAAGGCGCTGAATGACTCAGAATACCTGTTGAGAGAAGAACTTAAATATCCTAAAACATCAGTTGGTTCTCAGTGTAGCTTACTTTATTATAACTATAACCATAACAATGACCATATTTATGATTCTAGACGGCAGTGTGTGTTACCGCTGGGTGGATCGTTACCAAGAAATAGCATAACTGGTATCACTTCAAATATCTATGTGGAACATTCAAATGAATTGATACAAAAACGACAAGGCGATTTTGTGTCACGTAATGATTATACTAGTCAGTCAATGGAGTTATTAGAAAACTTGAATAGTGCATATAAAACAGCTAATGGAAATCTTAACAGTGATAATACATGGCAAGTATCTATGACACTGTTACAAACAGATTTTATTAAAGGTCCACGAATCAACGACACTGGTCCAATTTACATGTTTGTGGCACGACAAATAAAGTAAGCATTAGTTGTGGTTGAATGAAATAACCTAGACAAAATAAGGAATTAATATTATTCAGAATAATTCACTAAAAATTTTTCTTCAAGAATATAAACAAAGGGGAACAATAATTTTTTATCTTTGTTATTTTTCTTCTATAAAATTACTGATTCATTATGCGTTTAGATCGGATTAACTTTGGTATCTTTTCGAAAGATAAATTATCAGTTGGCGTATTTCAATCATTATAAGAAGTATTACCGTTAGTCAGTTTTATTTAATATTTAATTAATTATAATTCTATTTAGCAGTGTTTCAACTTCTTTTTATACACACTTGTAATAACTTAAAAATAATAAAGTAGCGTGAAAATTAATGTGTTTTATGCTAGCAAGAACTAGTATTTATTCAAATACTTTTAATCTTGATTTTGACTGTTTTATTTCTCATCTTGTGTTACGCATTTTGAAAATCGTCAGTTTATTCGAAATGTAGTGTAAATGGTAATAATAATAACAACCATTTCTTGAAGCCTAAAAGAAAACATTCCATACAAATGTTAGATCTACTTTGTTTTAGCTTTACATTTTTTCACAACACATTAATTTGACCAGTTCACTATTAGTGAAAATAGAGGAGATTAAAACATATTTACCTACAGCTTATTAAATAATAAATTTATTTACAGAATATTAATAAAATAATTTTTTTGAAACAATAGTTCTTTTTCTTATTCCAATAGAAGGCTGGAAGCATTGTATTCTTTGAGCGAGTTTTCACAGATGTAAGTTGTTTTGAGTATTCACTTTCGTGCAAGAAAGTCCCATTATTGTTTTGGATTATATTTTATCATATTACCTAGGTTACTCTTTATGTGGTTTGTGATTATTCATCAAACGAATGCGACTCCACCTTAATCGCCAAGATTGGGATTTGATATCTACTGCTACATATTCACTGACTCGGCTAAGTTCAGGATTATTTCTATATGTCATTTACATGGTACATAATAATTTTACTCTCACTGCCATTTCTGAAGCCTATTTCTATCTGCATAGATTTTTATCTACTTTCATAATTTGAAAAGAAATTGTATTAAGTTTCGGGTGATAAAAAAGGCTTTCTAGCTCAGGATGAGAATAAAGATTGTCCAATGTCCTTCTCACTGTAGAATTTGGTGATGGGATTTCATCAGTAGGCTTGTCAAGATCTGTAGTACCATCTTGGTTATGAAGTCATGCTTTCCATTGGATAGCAAGCATTTACTATACTTTAAGTTGTTTATTTTTCAAGATTATAAAAGTGTAATAAGGCACAATGCAGAGTAGTAGAATTCCATTTTTTAAGATTTAACTGAATATTTGTATTTTGAGCAGATCTTATTACTATCTTAACAAAGAAATAATTGTGCTATTAATCATCTTGATTAACTACTTTTTTATTTTTCAACTATAATGAAACACAATATATATGTACATCTTAGACTGGTACTGAATTTCTACGTTTTAAGTGTTATAATGTCAGTAATTCTTTACTCAGACACAGAAATCATTTTCTTTCTCCGTTTACTTAGTTAAATTAGTCTCCATCTCCTCATTCTGTATTTAGGCTGCGTCCTACCACATACTTAGTTGAATTTACGATTCCAGATTAAGTTAAATTTACATATTTTATTTATATTGACAAACAAAATAAATGTCTGACTTGTGAATCTGATTCTACAGTTTTGCCTTAGAGCAAGCTTAGTTGTTGTTTTTATATCAGCAATTATGCCTAATATGAAAGGCAAAACATGTTAAATGTACAACTTCACTCTTCTTCAGTCGTACAGCAAGAATGAAATATATAGGTTTAAAAAGACGGTTGCAGTGAAGAAAATTTTCTTTTCCATGGAGTCATCAGCCAGACTGTACATTCGTGTATTAATATTAAATGTGTGAGAAAGACAAGTTGCTGCAGTGAGCCACTTCAACATGCATATACAAGTTCACTCGCTCTTCTGGAGCCGAGTACATTGGCCGTACCATGCGTCCGCTTGTTAAATGCGCCTAGGATGGTTAGCAAAGGGAGAATACAAAGGGGTAAACAGTTCGATAACAGAACATCTGGTGAATTTTGGACATTCAGCTCCATTTAAAAAGTTCAAAGCTACATACAAGATCTGATCAAACCTACCAAAGAAAGTGAAATCAAGACATCTGGGAATGCCGAGGGGGTCCAAAAACTCAAGCCTACTCTATGTCTCTGAAAGAGATAAGCCCAACCATTGTCCCTAATATGGCCATCATTAAAAGACAGTCCCACCAATAATCATTGTCCATTTACCTTTCTTGTCCAACCTTCCTGTTTATTTCTGTTGTATTTACATTTTTAATTCCCATCTGCATAACTAGATTCGGTTACTGTTGTTTTAATCTTTATATGTATGAACCTCATACTTACTTTGCTAATAGTACGTCCTCAATCGGTAATCATACAAACTGACAAGTTCCCCAGTGATTATAATCTTATTATATCTTTTCTACCAGATCTTCCTGAATACTACACTTAGGAATTTTATTAATTTAACCTTTGACCAGGAACAATTCTGGAAATTTCTCACACACTTAATATAAATACACGAATGTACAACCTAGCTGAAGGCTTCGTCGAAATAAAATTTTCTTCGCTGCAGCCTTTTTTAAAAAATAATTCCTATGATCCATTGTATATACATATATATGGATCTAATCCTTGGTGACTTTGGCAAGTCGGTTGACAAGCCTATTCAAATAAAACCGTTGATTTATTAGTCATTTAGCGTAGCGTTTAAAGTTACTATGGTTTGAATTGTAACTTGAATGCATACGAGAGAGTAGGAATTAGACAATGATTTTGCCCTATCTAAGACTGCAAGGACATCTAAATGTCAAAATAATAAAAATATAGCAAACTGAAATATTCAAGAATAGGATATTGGAATTCGTCTAAATGAAACACTTTTTAAGGCAACTAGAACACTAATTTTTAGAAGATTTAACTGACTTTTTAGCGTATTTTGTTTGATAATCAGTGTTATTTAGAAAATCAGTTGGAAATGAGGAGAATTGATAAGCTGGTTTTTCCATATCTATTCACTCGTTAAGAAAAAATTACAGGTTATTTTCCAATAATGTTGGGACGAATATTTTACTATAGGTAAAACTGTTCTGTTACTGATGTCTTTTATCTCTGCATGCGTATAGAATTCTACAATCCTTTATTACATTAAACTGCGATGCATCTATTTTTTTCAACTTAGGCTACTATTTGATGCATTTCGTTAGAAATTAAGTCACTCTGAAATGTTATTTACACATATTACCAGGATGCATACTCGATAAATATCCCAAATCCGAGACAGATCAAAGCAGTCCATCTGATCTACTGTAATAGATTGTGGCGTTAGCCCCAAGATAATCCTTCTTAGTCAACAAAGTAAATACTTAACAATTTCTATATGGCTTTAACTTTTAGTCCTATTTATGCCTGACTCATGATGATTACTTTTAAGTGACATTAGCAATAAAAAGAAAACAGATGTTATTGATTTATTCTAAAATAAAAATGGTAAATATTTTATGTGCTCTAGTTGAGATAACTTTGATAGTTATTAGTTTTAAATACTTAAGTAAATAAATACGTAAGAGAATATTTTTATTTTGCAGCAGAAACTGACACATTTTGCTCAAATCAACTTCCTCTGAAACAAAGACAAACAATGATTAACATTCAGTCTCTCTATACAAGCTGTGGGCGTGTATCCTAAACTTGGTTTAATTCTGTGATTAGTCATCAACTCAGAATGTTGCTCAGAATATCTTGAGTTTTCTAAAAATTCACTAAAGCGTGATAATTCATTGGATGGGTTAGAAATATGTGTTAAACAAAGTGTGATTAAGTATTTCACGGAATTCATAAGATGTGAGGAATACAGTTTTGATATCGTCTCATACAGGAATGCTTAAAAAGTAAAAAGATTTAAGATATGCAAAGCTTGTATCTGTTATGACACTTGTATAGTTGTGAATAGTACGGGTGATGAACCATTTAGTCAGCGATATTTTGGGCAAATTTACAGATAAGTTTCTTCTGTTGATGTCGATTATTTTCAACCAGTCTGGAATTGTAGAGCCCTGAAAATATATTCCTTCGTAATCAATTTAGCTGAGGACCATCATATCTCACAGGAAAAAAGCTGTAAATAAAAAGTGGATTAGAATCAACCACCACAGTAGTTGAAATTTGCAAGACAATTACAACTTATATTTTCTCCAAGCCCATTCCACAGATTATGAATATTTTGTCACTAACTGAGTATCTTCTCTTTGGTTCTTCATTCTTATTAAATGTCGTATGAATGGAATAATTTAACAGATGGAGGCCTTGATAGACTGGTTCTGCACAGCGTATCCAATTTGTAATTTGATTTCACATACGTTGGAAAAGTAAACTGCTACTGAATGTGGTTAACCAAATTGATTTCAAGCAAAATTCTGTGAGACAGTTTTGCAGATAAGATGCTAGAAAGGGAAGCAGTGTTTTCTGAACATTTTTATACTCTACGTCTTGACCTCAGTAGGCTTCTAAAAACTCTATTTTTTGATCGAGAAGTCACATTGCAAAATATAAGCACTGGTAGGATATTTTCATTATTATTACTTAATTCGAGAAAACGGATGGAGAACAATGAACGTTTTTGAATATCTAAACCTTCTAACAATTTACTTTAGTGTACTAGGATAATATGAGCTCATCCGAATGATTAAAAATGTGGGCTTATATTATCCTGGTGAATTTGTCTTCCTTGCTTTGTTCAGATTTACTGGTGGGAAGAATCGGATGAACTTGAGTTCAGTGCTTAATATAGAGTCAAATAACGGTAAAATTGTTTGTTAGCAATAGAACACACTTTATCACCGCATGTAATTCGAGTAATACCTCTAGTCGACTAATAATTACTAATCCGTAAGGCGAAAAAAACTGTAATCACTCTTCTCATT